CTATTTTTTACCAGAAATTGATCTTTTGAGAAAGTAAATTGAGACTTTTCTCTTAAAGATTAGAAGCTTTACTCAATAACGTTTCAAAATTTTTGATTGGAAACTCTTTCAATATAAAATCAATTGAATATTTTTTAGAATGTTTTCTATAGTATGCTACTCTTGGAGTTGAAGTTCGCATGTTAGGTTGATATTCCTCCACCTTGTAGTCAACCAAACTTTCACCAGGTTTATGTTTATCCACTACCAGATCCCCTATTGTGACATGCTGATGTGCTCCAACAAACATTTTAGTGAACATCAGATCTAACTTTACAAATTTCAGCACTTACTCATTAGGTATCTCAACATACCATTTGTTCTACCATTATTACAACAACTGGCCCTAAAGTGTGCTAGATGTTGATTTGGATGCGTTGTTCCATCAAAACTTTTAAATGATGGAAGAACAAATCCTTTAAGATGGGGAACCAAATCAGTGGTGACGGGTGGCGGCGGGTTGTGGTTGGTGGTAGCTGGGCAACGTTCGATGGTGGTGGGCGACGATAGGTGGCATTAGTCAAATTAAGCTTGCTTGCAGTGTAATTGGTTCTTGATCAAAATTGGGCAAATATAGTTCACTTCTAAAAAGAACTAAAATAATTTACACTCTATTTAATTTACTTTACTTTCATTTCTTTTTATTTCAATTAAGTACTAATATTTTCAAACTTAAGCACTTGAATATATTATACCCATTTTACTTCAAGCCAAATAGCCCATATGACAACCTTCTTTCCTATTATTTTTGAAATGAGAACCAGCTTTAATATTTAGGGTCTTAATTTTTCTATAAAAAAGGGTTACTGATTGCTTTCGTGCAACATTTTGCATCATGTGCTCATCTATATGGCACTCCTGCCATCTCAGATTATAGCTATGCCTTAAATTTTGATAATGAAAAGTAGGCAGTCCATGATATTTGATGAGAGAAAGGGATTGGTTGATTTGGAGGAATTCACAAATTTAGGTAGCTAGAGGAGCATCTTTAGATATTAGAATGCTACTTTTCTGAGGATTGACATGTAAACTAGAAACAGAAGAAAAATTAGCCAAGATAGAGTTGAGGGTTTGTGCATTGGTGGAGGTGGCTTTTCAAATACCAGGAGATCATTAGCAAACATAAGGTGGGTAATGGAACAATCACCAATGCTCATACCAATAAAAATGGAGTTGGAGGTGGTCAAATCCAAAGAAGTGGAAATACCATCCATAATTAAAGCAAAAAGGTAAGGGTATAGTGGGCACCCTTGCTTGAGCCCCGAAGTAGAGTTGAAATAGCCTTCAAGAGCACCATTGATGCTTATATAGAAATGGACAACTATAATATATGCTTTAATCCAGGATATAAAAACATATAGTGGGCACCCTTGCTTAAAGTCACCAAGCTTGTTTTTGTTGAGCACAGTACCGCCAGCTTCTTCATTTGGGGAACAACAACATTTAAAGTCTCAAATGATAGCCCAGAGAAGAGTAATAGTTTTAGCAATTTTATAGATGTTGTCCCATAGGAACTGCCTTTCCAAATGAGAATTACTACAATAAACCGTGGTAATAGCACAGATGGGGGCAGAGGCAATAATAATGGTACCATGGATGAGTTGGTTAGTGGTGATCTCAGGGATGAAATTAACAGCGTTTACATTCCATCTAATCCAGATACGCCCTAGATTATAGTGCTGGAAATTGTGGCAAGAGGCTTCCATAGAGAACACTTTGTGGTTGGCAAGAAACCATTGATTGGAGAGGTTATTAAGGGAATTTTTTAGCTTCAAGGATGAAGAGGATGTCAAGGTTGTGTTTTTGGGTTAATTATTTGCAACATAAGACTTTGTCAGGGTTATAAAACCCATGGATATTCCAGGCTACAATATTGGGTAAGGTCATTGACATTTATGGGTTGGGGTAGAGGTCTTTTTAGGTTGCTTGCCTCTAGTTTGCTTTTGATTTTGTTGGGAGATAAACCTACATATATTCCAGGCTACAATATTGGGTAAGGTCATTGGCATTTATGGGTTGGGGTAGAGGCCTTTTTAGGTTGCTTGCCTCTAGTTTGCTTTTGATTTTGTTGAGAGATTTATTGGGTTTTTGTGGTCTTTATATAGAGGTGGAGGAGGACTAATATGTGAGAGTGGGAATGGTGGGTTGGTGACTACGGGGTGATGTTTATGGTGGAATGTTTTGATTAGGGTTTGAAAGGTTTGGTGAGTTATTTGTGATTTGGGTTGTACTGAAAAGTTGTTCTAGATTCCCTTTTTCTAAAAGGGCTTTAAATTGATTTTTGGTTTTTATTGTGGAAGGGTTTTTAGGAGGGGAGGTAAGGAGAGGAGGCTCAGTTATTTCACCTGAATGGGAATTTAGATTCAGTATTAGAGGACCCAGAGGAGGGTTGGGAAGTAAATGGAGATTATATGTGGTGGTGCCAAATTTGGGAGGTGGCATTGGTTTGGGGATGGTTAGACGGGGGAGGGGGGGGGGGGGGGGGGGGGGGGGGGGGAGTGGTGAACCATGGCTTGCGACTGGTGCTTCTACCCCGAGGTCTGGAAGTTGTGTTAGAGGGAAGAATGGGGTCTTTAGGACATATAGAAGGGGGGTGCATGATGGAGCCGCACTGAGAACAGTATTCTGGTTTCCAATCATATTGGATTCTAAGCAGGGAAGTTTTACCATCAACATAGTAGAAAATTTCATACGGGAGAGTGGAGGTGCTAGTGATTTGCACACAAACTCTAGAAAAGGTTAAACGAGTTTTGGCGACAGTGAGAGCATCGACAACTAGAGGGATTCCAACAGAACTAGCAAGTTTAGAGATACCTTCCGGTGTCCAGCAGGAGAGGGGACATTTCATAATTTTGATCCAAAGGAGAATCGACGGGAACTCTTTACACTTGGGGACAAAATTCAGACTCCACTTTTGAAGGATGAAGGGGTTTTCAGAGAAAAACTAGGGGCCTCCTGTCTAGGAAAGCTCATAATCTTCAATCACTATAAATTTCAGGAGGAAGAAACCATCATCCATTGTTAGAAGAGATAAAGCTCCTTTAAGATGCCATGTCCTTTTGATAACAGATAGCAAAGCCTCGTAGAACGACCTTTTGCCCATTGAATATACAACAAGAGAGAGTTACAATTCAGGGGCTCCAGCAAGGAATTGATCACTGGTAAATTGGGCTGTGAGATTTTGTGTGGGGACAAAAGCTAGGGAATTAGAAAACTCCGTTGAAACTTGAGGGGTTATGGTTAGAAGATTTTCCCAACCCAACGGAGAGACAACAGAAGCGGTATAGACGGGGTAGGATGAAGAGAGGGGTGGGGGAGGGGGGCAGGCAGGAAGGAGTAAGCCAAAACCTAGGGCGACAAAGAAACCCTAGCAGAGCTTGTAGAAAAAAACTTGATAAAGCCAATAATTTCCAACCTCTGATCCAAAAAGTCACTTCTTCTCTTGTTGGTTGGAAGGCAAAAATTCTATCCTTTGTTGGTAGGATTCAATTTCTCAAATTCACCATAAGCAACACGTTGACTTATTGGAATAGATGTTCTATCTTGCCTAAAGGATGTTGCAAACTCATTAACCTTATGTGCTCTAGATTCCTGTATTTTGGGGATACTAATCTCAGGAAAATCCACACCATCTCCTGGAAAAACACTTGCATTCCCAAAATAAATGATTGACTGGGTATCCCATCCATTGACTGCCTTCAGCACAACTTTGCCTGCTCGATGATCAGGAGATTTTTAAATAAAAGTAGCCTTATTTTTTACTGGTGGAGAGCAAAATATTATTCTTTATGGAACTTGTTGCCTATTAAAAGCTTCGCTTATTGGAACTACCTTTGCAACAAGGTTGTTTCTATTAAACATTGTCTTACTTTGTTTGTCCATTATAGTAACAATTTATCCTTCTTATGGGACCCTTGGTGCAATGGAAAATCTATGGTAGATTTATTTAATGAAAGACAGAAGCTGCAGGACTTTACCTATATGTCTAATTGGAAAGTTTCTATGGTTATCAATGATATCAATTGGACATTACCTAATAGTTTTGATGTTTCTACTTCTTCTGTCATTTGTACCATACATATTAACAATTCCTTGGAAAACCACCTTTGGTTGGATGCATAGAACCCCAAATTTCACCCTTTCCAGGAATTTTTATACACCTCGCTTGACGAAGTTTCTTGGCACAAGCTTGTCTGGCATAAAAAAGCTGCTTTATGATTCTCGAGCTTTGCTTGGATGGCTTTCAAAGGGGGTCTCAAAACTGCGGAAGTTTTAGCTACTCGTGGGATTGCAAGTGGAACTAAATGTTGCTTTTGTCTAGAGGAATCTGAAACTACATCCCACATTTTCTTTGAATTTAACTTTACCTTTAACATTATCAAGAATCTCCTTCCCTGGCTGGGAAATATCCTTATGAGACCCAACCTGCACCAAGCTCTTGATAGTGTTATGGACCGAGGGCTCTCTGGTATTCAAATATGTTACTACATTCTTGCTAGCTATGCTACAGTGTAATTTATAAGGAGGGCTAGAAACGATAGGTTATTTGGCGGTATTTTTGATTTCTAAGCCACGATTACTGCTAAGATTAAACAAGTTGTTATGACAAAAACTGCAAATTTGAAGCACACCGTGAATGTTAACTAATTGCTTCAACATTTCTCGGTTGCTATTTGCCAAATGCTGCCTATGTTTTATTTTGAAAGGACGATGATGATTGCTGCCTATGCAGCAACCCCTTGAACGGTCACTTTGGCAACCAGGACGGTCACTTTGGCAACCAGGGGCAAGGCTCTAGTGTAGTCCCTTCGAGTTCTTGACCCTACAAGAGTTTTTTCACGTTGAAGCCCCCTGAGTCCTTCAAGTTTTGATCTTCATTTATCAATGATACATGCTTTGATCTTAAATTTCCCAAAAAAAAGAAAAATTTTAATAAAAAAAAATTAAAAAAATTAAAAGTCTACCCTAACTTTTCACGCCGGAACCCCAAGTCAAATCAAAAGGTGGGTCACTCCCGCCTTTCTCGCTCTTCCTTTTCCCTTTTTATGCCCTTCCATTCAAACAAAATGAGCACTTAACAGTTACGACAATAGCCTTCACCATCGCTCAGATTGAGATGGATGCCACAATCGATCAATCCAGGAAGTCAGTTGGTAATTTTCTGTTCTTCATTTTTCTCAATTTTCTTCCTTATTATTTTTCTTAATTTTTTTTGCTATTGTTATATGGATTATTGGGGATCTCAGGAGGGTCATTACTTTGATATCCACTTCGATCTGCAACCAAAGGGAAGGATGCGAATATATCAAATTAGGAGACGCATAAAAGTTCGGCTACCAGAAGGTTTTGCTATCTTTTATGACTTATTTACTTTGTTTCATTGATTTAGGTTGATGGAAACTATTATTTGTGGGAGCAGAAAAGAGGTCTCTCGGTTGTTTTCTCTAATTTTTTTCTTGTTGGACTAGTTGGACATCACTCTACCCCTGATTTTGATTTTTATGCAGTTCATTTGTTTGTTTAATGAGATCTATTGGGTAAACAATAAATTTTAAAGTTTATCCATGGTGGGATTCTATTGAAAACTTTTTACTAGACCTAAAATATGTCGGCTACTGGTATGCTTGGTGTTTTTTTATTTCATGCTGCGTTTGCTTTTATTTTTCTATTTCTACTTTTCATAGAACTAAATACTATAATTATTTAATATATTTTTTATTTTTGGAGACTATGATCGGAGGGAAGCAAATGGAAGTTCCGTGGTATTTGCTCTGAGGTCCAACTGGATGCAGAGCCATTAGATAGTTTAATGAGATCTTAGAGGAAAAGCTAAGTTTGATTGTTGGAGGGTTTTAGTGGGAAAATCTGTTATATCCTAAAAAATTATTGGCTGAAGAGATAAGTGTTTCCTCATCACAGTTCTGATTTATAAATCTTGTATTTGATAGATTGAGAGCTGAAACCAATGAATGGTTCATCGCTAAATTTTGGTGGCTATCCGTATGGATTTACCCCAGAAAAAATTTAATCACATTCGGATGCAAATATGACATTTAACAGAAGGATCAAGATTGAAATGAATATCTTGATAGCTGTTTTTGAGCATTAATAAATTTATAGATAGGATTTATAGCTACCCTTTATTTTTGTCATAATGATAGCAAAATTCCTGCACTTGTAACTTTTTATTTTAATTATTACACTCAGCTTAATTTGTTTTTTAACTTGAACAGTGATCCTTATATGTTGTTTGCAATAACCCCCTGATATTTTTATACCTATCATAATCAATATGGGTGCAATTTTTTTATTAATTTGTCTCATATGCACTGAACCTTCAGTAGTTTTCAGCATCTTAGTAACTTTTTAAAAATTGGAATGGACCGGCCGGTTTAACCGGTTGAACCGGTACCCAGCCGGCCGGCCTGTTCATTTTAACACCAAAACAGGCAAAGCAGGTAACCGGATTGAACCGGTCGGACCGTGAAACCGGCGAACCGGAAACTTGACTCGAACCGCCTTGTTAAACTTAGACGCATCTTCAGCCGTTGGATTTCATTCGTGCGGTTTTTGAGAAATAACTAAATAAGTATGTGAAGTAAAACT